CATCAAGGTAATTACAGCCTTTTTAGAGATGATGGCTGCAAGATCTTAATGCAGGGAGTACATGGTGTTAGAACAGTGTATTTTCAGATTTCCAGACTGCCTCTGTTATCAGAGGCCATTAAACATTTGTTTTGAACCTCACATACTCTCACCCCATGATGGTTCAGTAAGTTCTCCTTGACTGGCCTATCTGACCTTAGTTCTTTAGGACACATGGTTATTTTCTGAATACGATGAATTACAACGAACAGATAAAAGAAACAAACCTGTCTGTCTGAACGTGTGGCCCTGAACTCACCTCCAAACATCTACAGGTGAACAGAGAATATTCACATTTCTGAGAGTAAGAGAAGCTGGACACGATCCTATGAGATAACACTGTATTACTGTAAGTATTTTTATTATTATTTGTTAAATATCACAGAACAGTAAAGTTTTAACATTCCCTACAATGTATCAGGACAGAGGAACACCCCTCAGCCATTACATTTTGACAAATAAAACAAACCTTTACCTCCTCACCTATAGATACTGACCACTGCTGAATAGGAACGCCCCCCGAAACTGCTGTAGTTTTAGAGCAGAGATTCCCACTCACTGTGCCGTGAATGATCATTACTGTGCCGTGGAAAATTATCCAATTTCACTTCACTTTTGCTTAAAAAAGATAATCAGAGCTGTTGAAAATGAACTTTGTGTCTTTCTTCAATTCGTGCCAATATATCAGCGTTGTCTTCAACTAAACAGGCTGAGATTTTAGTCAATTATGAGGTCATAATGAGGTGCCCTTGACACCAACAGACCAACCATTCACCTGTATGGTCAATACACATGCTGTTAGGTACCAATACTGCAGGAACTGGGTTTTTGCATCCAACGTTTAAAAATCTTGCTCAACTATTGGATATTTTTATTGACATTTCATATATAACCATATATATATATATATAAAATTTCTGCAAATAATAAAATGCTTTAGATTGAATTTAAAAATGAGGAAAAATATTAGTATTCATATCCAAAAATAGTTACATTGAGGGGAACTGGGCGAAGTTGGTTTTTTTTTTTTTTTTTTTTTTTAAGACGTTCCACCTCTTATCCAAGAGAGTTCTTCAGTTTTGGGACAGTTCAGAACTGAAGAACCCTCTTGGATAAGAGGTGGAACATCTTGAAGAAACCTGCTCCGTCCTCCATGTTTCTATTTCTGGATTAAATGACCTGGATGACTGAGAACCTACACAGACAGTAGTATTCATAGTACACACAGTAGAAGAAAGATAGTGTGTACTGTGTGTATATCAGCCCCAACATCTGTACTTTATTATACACCGTTAAACCATTCTATTACCGTTCTGTAATATCCAGCCTATGATTTGAGGACATCAAACTTGAACATCACATCTGTCCTAGGTTTCAACTCTCAGCCAAAAGAATGTGCCAGAAAAACACAAACTGTAGTCAAACAGTGAAGAGTGACGTTCACCGTGATGACAAACGGTACATTCAAGAAAAAACAGAGGACGTTTTCAACAAAGTGTTGTCGATCGCTGCTGTTTACAGCCTCATGAAAGGACTTCACGGGTCATGTGACGTCTTCATGAATAAGGGGAGGAGAAGTGGGCGTGGCCACGGCTGCAGGGCCTCCTCCATTTTCCCCCCCAGTACAATAGGCACATCATGAGGTGTTGGGCTTTAGGACCGCCCCCCCCCCCACTCTTTTGCCACGTGGTATGTTCCTACCCAGTATTTAAATCCGGGAGCTTGAGGGATGTGCTGTTCATGGTCTGTGAAAACTGCTGTAGTTCAGGAAGCAGCTGAGAGACAGAGAGAGAGAGAGAGAGAGAGAGAGAGAGAGAGAGGGGAGGAGGAGAGAAAAAAAAAACTGCCTTGCCTGCAAACTGAAGAGGGCGACAGTATCAGATAAGGAGAGCGAGCGAGGACAGAGTGGTCCTGGTGTCGACAGAACAGCTTTCCTTCAGTGTCTCTCCTCTCTGCCTCTCTCTCTCTTTCGCTGTCATTTTCCGTGTGCCATCGGGGGAGGGTGCATCGACCGTCCCGGGCCTGGTTAAATCCCCCATCATCCCTCAGACGCTCTGACAAGGCCACTGCGACTCTAACGGGGTCTGTGGGAGAAAACAAAACCAGGACCAGTCAGGGAGATAGAGGTACTGTAACACATACACGCTTGTCTTGTACTGGTAACGCTGGTACCTTCGTACCAGGGGAACGCCGCCGCGTCCACACTGGGTTACTTGGAAGTTTTCACACCGGTGTAATTGTGCTGCACCGTGGGAGAGCTCTTATTGGTAGATAACGTGAGCAGTGACGAGCTGAAAACACAGAGAGGAAATGTAGTAATGGGAGTGAGGAGGGTGGTC